GCAGATTTGCCTAATGCAATACGTCGTCTGATTTCTTGACTGCTGCTTCCATGAGTGTTGATAGTTGATCCAAGAAGAATGAAGTCCTTGACAACTTCAATCTTTTTTTCCGTTGATAAGAATGTTGTTTAATGGTCCAGTGGTGAGGATTTTTCTTTTCTTTACACTGAGATGCAATCCATACCGAAGGCTGTGCTCTTTGATCTTTATCAGTAAGTATTTTAAGTCTTCTTTACTTTCAGCAAGCAAGGTTGTATCATCTGCATATCCCAGGTTGTTAATGAGTCTTCCACCAATCCTGTGCCACGTTTTTCTTCATATAACCCAGTGTCTTGGCTTATTTGCTCAAATACAGGTTGAATGAGTATGGTGAAAGAATACAACCTTGTCACACACCTTTCCTAATTTTAAACCATTCAGTGTTCCCCATGTTCTGTTTAAACTACTGCCTCTGGGTCTATGTACAGATTCCTTGTGAGCACAATTAAGTGTTCCAGAATACTAGAAAGAAGGAGAGATGAACTATTTCCTAATATTTAGTCACTGAAAACCTTATAAGTTTCATTAATTAGTTTATGCTGAAATGCAGTTTGGTTTTTGACAAGTAGCTGTGTCTTTATAGATTTATGAATCTGAATTTAGGAATTTAAAGTATAGGACAGCTCTTCCACGGGAGAAAGCTGAGGCTTTCTGCTCCCGTAAAGATATACAGCCTCGGGAACCCTGTACAGGGTCTCTGTGAGTCAGAACCGACTTCACAGAACGTAACCCCCACCAACCAAAGTATAGATTATCTGGAAGATGTTGTTGTTGTTGTTAAGTGCCGTCGAGTCGGTTTCGACCCATAGCGACCCTGTACAGGGTTTCCGAGGGTGTAAATCTTTACAGGAGTAGAAAGCCTCATCTTTCTCCCGCGGAGCAGCTGGTAGTTTCGAACCGCTGACCTTAAGGTTCGCAGCCCGATTCGTAATCACTACGCTAAAGATAGCTTCTTAAATTCCAAAGTCTAAGTTTGCTTTTAAGTGACATTATTTAGAAAGGTTTAAAACCGAGACCGCAGTTACATTTTGAGGCAATATTTGAATGATAAGTTTTGAAACAACAGAATTTTACCTTGAAGACATCTCTTTGTATTTGTTGTTGTTGTTAAGTGCTGTCATTGCGACCCTGTACAGGGTTTCCAAGGAGCAGCTGGTGGGTTTGGACTGCCAATGTTATAGCTCACAGTCCAGTGCTTATCCTACAGTGCCACTGTTGATCATTTATGAATATTGGATATACCTTTAATGCATGTGTTGGCTGTTTTAATAATATGAAAGCACCCGTAAACATTCTATTTTTGAAACATTTTCCAGTCTTAAAATAACTAAAGCTAACGCTGAAAACAAAACCACCAAGATGTAGGAATACCTGCATTACTTACTAGTGTTTGGGCTTTCCTTTCCTTTGAAATATTCAACTTTGCATCTCAAATGAAATCATTTTTTGTACTTAATATTTAAATGATTATTCCTGTGAGCAACTTCATTTATCCATGATAAATATTCCTACCTCCATCAAAAGCTCCCTCCCCCCTTTTATGAATTTGGGGAGATTTTTGCTTAAAATGACATTTATTAGTTTCATCATGTAAAAGCAAGCTCTTTTGATGTAAATAGTTTAAGTGCAACTTGTGCCAGACGACTTGAGTTTCTTAAGTGTTATTGCAAAATCCCAAGGTATGTTTGAAAGAAAGGAAAACAAAACGGAACATGAAGAGCAGGAAAAGTTGCTGGGACTTGCCCGGTGTCCCCACACAAGGCAGTACATGTTGTGTGGTTTCATTGTGGGCGGGTGAGGTACAGTCAGCAGCCTACCAGCATTGGCTTTGCCATTGAAAGTCTTCCTTTTCACTGATTATGTAAACTAGTCTTGGTGGTTCATCCTCAGGTCAGAAGGTATCCTCTGTAACTCTTTTAAGAGGTGGTCCCACAGGGACCATACCATCTCTGTGTAATGGGGAGCAATTCCCACTTGGGGGTACGTGCTCTCTCATTGGGTTGACAGAGGCAGGTACCCCATGTTACAATAGAACAAAATTTTAGGGGGAGAATGGTGGCTCTGTAGGATAAGCACAAGAGTGGGAACAAGGTTGATGGTTTGAGCTCATCAGCCGCGCCACAGAAGAAAGATGAGGCTCTCTGCTCAGAATTCTCAGAACCCCAGAACACTGGGTTGCTTGTGTTGGAACTGACTCGAAGACACTTAACAAGAACTCCATTTTTATGATGGTCGGTATGCTTGAGTTCAACGTTTCAAGCCACTGTGTATTTTCCATGCCTTCCAACCTAGTGCTATATGTTGGTTGATTGGGTATGTGCCATGGAGTCGGTTCCAACTCATAGCAACTCTGAATCGGGTTTCTGAGGTTGTAAATCTTTGTGAGAGCAAACAGCTTCATCTTTCTCCCACGGAACAGCTCATAGTTTCGAACTGCTGACTTTGAGGTTAGCAGCCCAACGTGTAACCACTACGCTGCCAGAGCTCCTTCACGCTATATGTAGTGAAGAACATTCTGTTACGATCTATATGGTTTTCATTGGCTGGTGTTTGGAAGTCGATCACCAGATTTTCCCTCCTAATCTGTCATAGTCTGGAAACTCTGCTGAAACCTGTCTACCAGGGGGGGTGACCCTGCCGGTACTTGAAGTACTGTTGACAAAGCTTCTAGTAACACGGCAACATGAAACAGATCCCACCATGTGACAGATGAGGTGGGGCTCCTTCCGTTTTTTAGTGCAAGCCTTGCTCAGTTGTGGCCCACACTCACGTGTTTACGCTCTGTCTGGTTTTGTTCTCACAGTGACTACATGTCGGGCCAGACGAAGAACGTGGTCAGTGGTGTCCTTTTCGGCACCGGCCTGTGGGTGGCGCTCATTGTCACCATGCGCTATTCACTCAAGGTCCTGCTCTCCTACCACGGGTGGATGTTCACCGAGCACGGCAAGATGAGCCGCGCCACAAAGATCTGGATGGTAATTCACTTGGGCTCTGTGGGGCTCTTGTATCGGTGGGTTTGTTCTTGAAATGTAGATCCTTGTGGAACTTTCTGTCCTTTGACACATGGTGTGGGGTCTGGGTAGTGTCCTTACTTGCTTCTTGTTGTTGTTAAGCGCTGTTGAGTTGGTTCCAACCCATAGCAACCCTGTATCTCCCAGGAACAGCTGATGAGCTTGAACTGCTGACCTTGGGGTTCAAACCGACTTGGCAGCCCAGTGCATTAACCCGCAGTACTCTCTGGTAGTGTAGTGGTTACGAATCAGGCTGCAAACCTCAAGGTCAGCAGTTCGAAACTACCAGCTGTTCCACACGAGAAAGATGCATTCTGCCTCCCGTAAAGATTTATAGCTTCGGAAACCCTGTGCAGGGTCGCCATGAGTTGGAACCGACGCCATGCATGGCACATCACCACCACCACCACTACCACTCCTTATATGCTGGAGGGGCTTAATTCACCCTCATGCATATGTTTAGGCCCCAGAATGATTTTCCTTTCATGGTGCTAGAGAATGCTGGACATTTTATTAGCCAAGTCGGCTGTCTATAAAATACAAGGAGTTGTTCGTTGCAGCTTTCCTCGTTTACAGCATAGAAGCTGCTGCCTTGTAGCATCTCTGACTCACGTGTAGCCAGACATTCTGTGTCTTCCGTCAGCTGACCCCCTTGACAGGGACGCCCATGATTCATGGTTTGATCTAGTGTGCTCTGAAGCTGGCCTTGGCCGTCAGCCCGAAGTTCCATTTGTTCAAAGTGAATTGCTTTGGCATGTGCATGATATTTGTCCAAGTTCCAGCGTGTAAAGGTTTTAAATCAACTGGGGCTTTCTGAAATGAAACCAAGGTGGGAGCCATCTCTGGATTTTGGAGACCTCCGTCTTCAGTCTTGGGCCCTGTATGCCCTCTAGGCCTGTGAGTGGGTGTCTGCCCCTCACTGTTTCCCCCCTGAACCCTTACCTACTTACTTCATGCCCACCTAGCTCCCAGGAACCTTGTTTCCAAAGAAGCAAATGGTAAATTTACCAACTTAGTCATCTTATGCTAACAGACTCAAGGAAAGTTCTAGAGCACTTGGTGAGGGAAGGTGGAGAAATGGCCCATAGTCACTTGGAGTTGAACAGAGTGTTGCTTCTCAATTTACAGTAGCCTTGAAGGCCGTCTTCTGTTTTAACATCTAAAGTATTTGGATTGTGTTAACCCTTGCTTTGTTAAGTGGCCTTGTCAGAATGAGGAGGTCCTGGAGGCTGCTAGAGTTTGAACCGGCCAGCCACTTTGTGGGAGGAAGATGTGGCCGTCTACGTCTGTACAGATTGACAGCCTTGGAAACCCTATAGAATAGTTCTGCTTTGTCCTGTAGCTTCTCCTAAAGCTTGTGTTCTCATGGTGGGACTTCCTAGTTTCCTAAGTGAAACAAGCTCTGTGAGCTGTTTCAGTTCCGACCTGAAGAGGGTGCCTTCTGTATGTTCTCACTGTCCCCAGGCGATGGCGCTACTGCGACCGGGCCTGCTGTCCCCGCAGCTGAAAACTTCCAGGGGTCACCAACGCATGCCCTTGATGTCAGACTTCCTTGTTCCAAACCACCCTCTAGCTATTTCTTGGCTGAAAGTTTTCCGATTTCCAGAGAAACCAAATGGTACAGCAAGAAGACACGTGGCGATAGTCCGTACACGGTACACAGATGTGATGTGACACTTCCTCAGAAGGTCTCCACGCCACTGTAGGTTGAGTCCCAACACTCCTCAGCTCCAAGTGTCTCCAGTATGATTTCTCCACATCCCACCAACATGCGCTCTAGAACATTCTTCGCAGTCTGGTCAAGTTTAGATCATTCTACCTCAAGCAGATACAATAATAGTAGGCCGGCCTATGAGGGACATGACCACATGGTTTCCTACAGGGATGGTTCGAGGCCCCCTCAGGCTGCTCAGCTCAGACCCTACGCACGAGCCTCCCAGGGCTCACAGACATAGGTATTGAAGTTGTATTCAGTACCACAGATGCCAGCCAGCCACACCAATAAGCTGTAGCCAAGCTTCCCTCAGACTCTGGTTATCAGTATAATGTTTGCTTGGGAGTTACATGTGGTTTGCTAGGGTCTGTGAGTATGGGGACAGAAATGGACCCAAGGGATAAGGGACCACCACAGAAAATCTGTAAATAATCAGTGAGTCGTATGGATTTGAGAACTGGCTTCGGGGTCTCAGTACAGTCTTGGTCTTTAAGTTGTAACTTGTTTTGCTTTAAAGGGTATGGTGAAGATCTTTTCAGGCCGCAAACCCATGCTGTACAGCTTTCAGACCTCACTGCCACGCCTGCCAGTCCCAGCCGTGAAGGACACCGTGACCAGGGTGGGTCAAACTGAGTGCCCACTGTGCACACATGTTGGTTGTGTTTTTGACCAAAAAACTTATGTCTTAATTACGACTGCGAATTCACTTAGCACCACTGGGCGGTCATTTGCGTCCTCAGTACCTCGCAGGGTTGTTAGTGAAACTCTCTTTTTCACTGGATGTAACAGCACCTCGCAAGTACCTGCTAAAGAAACCGCTTGAAGGGTTGAGGCGCTGGGTGTAGGGGTGATGGTCGGTCCCAAGCCTGTCTCAGGAAAATGCTCATTTTCAAGCCTCCTCCCTATTTCAAAGCAGGCTCCCCAGTGGCAGTGTGCGGGGCAGAACGAAACATTGCCTGGTCCGGCGCCTTCCCCAGCTGCAGCCACTGGGTCAGGTTGTTTCATTGAGGCTTGTCCTCTTATCTACTGACCTTCTACCTTACCAAGCATGATGTCCTCCAGAGACTGGTCCTTCCTGATCACATGTCCAAAGTGTAAGAGACCAAGTCTCACCACCCTCGCTTTTCTAATGAGCGATCTGCATTACTTCTCCCAAGACAGATGTGTTCTTGCGTCTGGTGGCCCACATTGTTTACTGATACTGGAATACTACAACGGCATCTGTACACTATGCAGTCTTTTGTGTCTGGGTTTCTTTGACTCAGCAGAATGTTTTTAAGGTTCGGTTGTGTTGCAGAATAGATCAGAATTTCATTCTTTTCCATGGCTGAGTAAGAGTCGATAGCATGACCGGGCCTCATTTTTGCAAATACATTCCTCTGTTGATGGACCCTGTGCTGTTTCTACCTTCTGACTGTTGTAAATAGTGCTATGGGAAACATCTGTGAGCAGGTTTTTGCTCACCTACATGCTCTCATGACTTTGGGGTTTATACGTAGGAGCGGAATTGCTGGCTCATCAGATAATTCTGTGTTTCCGTTTGTCATGAACTGCCAGACTGTTTATCAGAGTGGTTGCCCCGTTTTAGGTCCCCACTAGCCAGGCATGAAGCTTCGTTTCCTCCACATTTGCAGTCTCCATTTTGCTACACCCAGGAAACTTCCAGTCATCCTCAGCGGGTTCCTTCATGTCTGTGATTTCAGTGTGGTTTTCCGCCTCACTCCTGACATTTTACCTGAATAAGCCTAGAGCGGTGTAACAGCAGACCTGTTTTGGGGCTGAGATTTTATCTTTAAACCCCCAAGGAGAGACTCAGGTGTGGACTACTGCCCCAAAGCACTTTGTACAGCAGACACTAACTTGTCTAGAGGGCAGCATGGTCCGAGGTGGAACTCTCGCCTACCATGCGCAAGACCTGGGTTTGATTCCCAGCCCATGTGTATCATGCACGTCCACCACCCATCTGTCTCTGGAGGCTTTCAAGGTGCCCGGATGTTGGACAGGTTTCAGTGGAGCTTCCAGAGTAAGACGAGGAAGAAAGGCCTGGTGATCACAGCCGTCCAGTTCTGCAGTCTCTCACGGGGATGACGCTGGGCCTGGGTAGTGTTTCGGTCCGTCGTGTATGAAATTGCTCTGAGTCACAGGCTGACTCAACAGCAGCTCACAACAACAACTGACCTGGTTGAAAGTCACAAAGCAGGGGTCACAGCTGACTGACTTTCTAGACATTCTTACTTATGTATATTACAGAAGTTTTAGGGTGACTTCTAGAAATGTTGGGTGTGTGAGCTGATACACCTTAGTGCTTCTCAAAGTGGGTGGGGGTGTGAAAAATGCTGTCCTTGTGACCTCTCTGTCTCCGTTCATCTGACCCCTGCCACCCCAGCCACGTGGCTGACGCCCCTCACACACTGTCCACCTCCCCAGGCTGTTGCCGCTTAGAGGAAAAGAGCTGTTTCGTTAAAGGTCAGACCAGGAAAGGAAGATGTAACTGAAATGTTCTCATTAATCCAATGATCTGACACCCTCGAATTTCCCTTGGTGATGGTATGGGATGTGGGGTTTAGAGAGCTTTCCTGCCAAGAGGAGAAAAAGTTGTTTAATTGTGTGTTCTTACTCTAAAATACAGGGAACTTGGTAGCGTAGTGGTTACGAATCGGGCTGCGAACCTTAAGGTCAGCAGTTTGAAACTACCAGCTGTTCCGCAGGAGAAAGATGAGGCTTCCTGCTCCCGTAAAGATTTACAGCCTCGGAAACCCTGTGCAGGGTCACTATGAGTCGGTTCCGATTCCACAGCACATAACCATCACCACCACCATCGTAAAATACCATGTCACATTTATGTACGCTGACTTGTCTGAGGACCAGTGTGGGGAAGATGCGAAGGCCTTTTCATTCAGCTGTGATCTTCTCTCAGGGACAGGGACAGCTGAGGATGCTGTGGGCTTTAAGTATCATTGTATTCACTCTGTTCTTCCTTCAACGTCAGTACCTGGAGTCAGTCAGACCTCTCATGAAGGAGGAGGACTTCAGACGCATGACAGAGCTGGCGCAGGACTTTGCTGTCAACCTTGGACCAAAACTTCAGTGGTACTTGAAGCTCAAATCCTGGTGGGCTACGAATTATGTAAGTGCACACACACACTGGCCACATGCAGACACAAGTCTGGGGGGCAGGGAGAACAGAGCTGATCTGACGGTTTAGGTGATGCGCACAAGGTGTCTGTCGAGGGATGATGGCTTTATCCTGTGCACAGGGGGGAACTTGTGTGGGCAATGTTTGTGTGTGTGTGTGCTGTACAGTGATGATTTAACAGTTCAAGTTCTGCAAGACTTACACTCTTCAGTGTGCATATATATGTTAACCAAATGTTATAGACCTCAGACCTGGTCCCAGGAGGCTGTGGAGAGAGAAGATGCTGGTGGGTTCGGTGGGAGGAGGGTGCCGGTCACTTGGATCCTGGGTAGTAGAAACATGTGTGGGCTCCTGGGATCAGCACCTGGTATGGACAGGTGACTGACCTGAATTGTCTTAGTTCTGTTTTAACAAACAAATGTATTCTCTCACCATTTAGGAGGTGAGGAGTCTGAGTTGAAGGCATTAGTTCTAGAGAAAGGCTTTGTCTCTATGGTTCCTGGGGAAGACGTTCTTGAGCTCCGACTTTCCCCGAGTCTTGGAGTTATCCAGCATCGGGACCCCGGGTCGAAAGGATCAGCTCCTCTCTTGGCTCTTCTGTGTTGATGGTGGTGGTTGTTAGGTGTTATCGAGTCAGTACCAGCAACATCGTGGACAACATAATGAAACCCTGCCTGGTCCTGCATCAACCTTGAGCCCATTGCTGCTGCCCCTGTGCCAGTTCATCTCCTTCCTTTTCAGTGACCCCTCCACTTTACCAAGCACACAGTCCTTCTCCAGGGTCTGGCGATATTAGCGTCTAAGGAGCATTCTGGTTGTACTTCTTCCAGCAGAGATTTATTTGTTCTTCTGACAGGCCATGGTATTTTCATTTTCTCTTCCAACACCATAACTCAAATGCATCAACTCTCCTACCATCTGCTTTATTCATCGCCCAACTTCCGCATGTTTGAACCTATTGAGAATATCAGGGCTTGGTAGGAGTAGGTCCCTCTCATCCTTGCTCACTTTGTTGTGAGTTACTGTGCTCTTGGTTCCAACTCCCAGAAACCTTGTGCCAACCTCACAGCTATTATTGTATGGGAGCGTAATTTAACTTGTCGATGCAAAAAAAAAATGAGCAGTCGAACATTCGTCATTTCATTTCTATTATGCTTTTTTTCTTTTACCATCTAGAATATAAAAACACCTTCCAGATGTGTCTTGACTTAAAACCTATAGTCCTCATTTAGTTGTTTGTTTGTTTTTTTTTGCTGGGACTTTTGTTGGAAATTTTAGAATGAGAGAATCTCTCTTTTTGAAATTGTGGTTTGGGTGAAAGTTTGCAGAGCAAATTCATTTTCCACTCAGCATTTTGTTTTGTGACATTAGTTGCACTTCCTTCAGTGGGACAGTACTCTTCTCACTTCCGTTCTGAGTTCCGGTTCCCTGTTTCCCTTCACCCATCTTTCCTGCCCCTTCCTGCCTCTGAGCTCTGTTTTGGGGCAAATGCTGCCCTTTTGGTTTCGTACGGTTGATTGTTTGCAGGAGTTCGTTTCTCACGAGTATTCTTGTTCACTTGGTAGGCCTGTTTGTTGTTTGGCTGAAAGGTGGTCTCCAGGTGGGTTCAGGTCCAGGGTTGAAGGGTGCCTAAGGGCTACTCTTGGGGGTTCCACCAGTCTCTGTCAGACAAGTTGTTGTGAAGTGTTGTTGAGTCTATTCCGACTCACAGCGACCCTGTGTAGGGTTTCTGAGGAGCAGTTGTGGGTTTGAACTGCCGGCTTTGTGCTTAGCAGTCCAGTGTTTACCTCACGCTGTACCAGGGTTCATCAGACAAGCTAGTATATGTATATATATTTTGATTTTGAATCTGTTCTGCATTTGTTCCCCACTTTTTTGTCTTCTGTCTTGTTGCGGTGACCCTTCTCTGGAATAGCACCCTAGCATGTCTGCTGTCAATTTCATTTTTGTCATTGATTTGTGACTTAGGGGACCCCATGTTACAGAAATGCGCCTGAAGGTTTCCTTGTTGTAATCAGCTAGCCAGGCCTTTCTTCTGCAGCTCCACTGGGTGGGTTCAAACCTCCAACTTTTGGATACCAATCAAATGCAAACTATTGGCATTCTGCCACCCCTGATGGGAAGCCCTGGGCTCCTACCCCCAGGCAGCCTGCGTGTTCACACCTGTTCAGTCTGATGCCGTCTGTCTCCTCTCTGCCTCCCGCAGGTGAGTGACTGGTGGGAAGAGTACGTCTACCTCCGAGGACGAGGACCGCTGATGGTCAACAGCAATTACTACGCCATGGTGAGTCATTGGTCACAGCTTGGGCTGAGCAGACCCGCCCTGCCGGCCGCCTGGAACATTCGCTTCTCTTGATCTTGGTTCCAAGGTCCAAGACTTGACACTCCAGCCGTGGGGTTCAGGGACCTGCTGTCCCACCAGGGAGCCACAAAGTTGCCCTTTGATGTTTGTGTAATAACTCCGGGCATTGCGTACTGTGAGGACAGTGGATTGAAAAAAATATGCTCTTGACAAACAGGAATATTTTTGCTTCCCATGTGCCTGTGTTCATGTCAGAGTGTAATTTGATAGTCAGTAGCCTGGCTTTAGGCCTCCTTCCCTGCTTCTCTTGGGAGCGTAGGGACAGTGGGTTGGCCAATGGTTTGTCCCCGATGATGTTGGGAGCATTGCCTTGTGTTTTCTAAGAGTCTGTGAAGCACCACTCATTGTATTTTGCTCTCATTTCTCTTGGTTCTTCCTCTGTCTTTTGGAACATTCACCGGTTTGGAGTGATTAAACCATTGTTCTGTGAGAAGATGCCTCACTTGGGTTCCAGGGCACTGTTAATACCTCCAGGTCACTGGCAAAACTCATTCTTACTCTATTCCTTTCTTCCTGTACATTTTTGGTTTGTTTTTTTTTCTTTTCCTTATTACTCTGGATTTATAGTTCTCTTCGTCTTTAAAATTTTTCTCTCCCACCCCCTTTTTGAAACACTCTCCGACACACAGAAAAAATTTCTAGTGTAGTGTATAGACTTTCGTTTTTGTCATCAACCATTAACGAGTAAGTGATATGTCTGATGCCCTAGCTTCTAGGATGCTTGAGAGTTTATTTCCTCCCAGCATGCTTTCCAGCATAATTGGGAAATTCCTGGAGATATGTTACGGTCACCCAACCCTGGGATCCCACTTCCGCTGCCAGTTGTCCCAGTAATGACCTTTGCTGTAAGAGCACCCAGTTCTAAGGTGAGGTGCTCTTACTGAGTTGGCATATCGCTGATCTTCTCAGATGGGGAGGTTATTTCCCAACCTTTTCCTGAATGTGGTGGACACACAGGATGACAGGCAGCCGCTCCATTGCACGTTTCTCAGTTTGGGTCTGTCTGATGCGTCCTCAGGATTAGATCTAGGGGATGTTGTCTTTGTGTCTTTGAGGGGACATCACAGAAGTGATGCTGTACGTCTTAACTTCCCATCGGATGACACACAAGTTTGATTCATCCCATGCCTGGTGTTCGGTCTGAACACTCGGTTCAGCTGGCTTCTAGTTGTGAAGTCTCTGGTTCCGCCTTTGTGATGAGAGAGTGTTTTGGAGGGAGAAACTTCAAACTCTGCCCACACAGACATTGCTCTCTTTACTGCACTCTGCACGTACTGTGTTTTTACAAATTGAAGTTTGCGGCTAGCCTGCATTGAGCAAGTCTATGGGCGTCATTTTTCCAACTGTATATACTCCCTTCATATCTTTCGAGATTTCGAACTTGTTCATAATCCTCTCGCACAGTTGAACTTCTGGCGTGGCACTGTAAGCCTTGGAATCCGAACCACAAGGTTGGCAGGTCAAACCCACTATAGCTGTTCCTCGGAGACCCTGCACAGAGTGACTGAGTTGAGACCGACTCCCTGGCACTTAGCCACAGTGTGCAGTTAGCAGATGGTGGCATGGTATAGATGTAACTTTTCATACAGCTCGCTCTGTTGTGATACTGGCTTGGTCGAGGTGATCTCGAACCACGCCAGCCCATGTCTGTGGTCTGCCTGTGTCCTGCTGGTCCTCAGATTTCCAGTGTGCTTGTTAGTTGGACAGTGTGGGAATGCCCTATGATGATGCACCTACCCTCCCTTTACCCACTGGCATCGTCTCTCTGAGGTTGTGGTTCCTTCTCCAGGATTTATTGTACCTTGTACCTACGCACATCCAGGCGGCCAGAGCGGGCAACGCCATCCACGCCATCCTGCTCTACCGGCGCAAGCTCGACCGGGAAGAGATCAAACCCGTACGTAAAGGGTGTACAGGCACTGCTGAATGGGGGCTGAAGGGGGGCTCACCACATTCGGGTTTGTTCCCTTACAGTTCCGGGGCTGGAGGTCCAGGGCAGGGTGTCAGTGTTGTTGATACCTCTAGGGGGCGCTCCTTCCCTTTCTCTGTCTCTTGGTGGCCGAAGGCATCCCTGGCCTCACCCCACTCTTCACTCTCCTCAGGCTGTTTGCTGCCTCCTGGTATTTTTTGAGAACCCCTCTCCGATGGGATTAGTAAATCCCCCACTGCAGTCTACCCTCACCCTCACTAATCTGCAGCGTGTACAAACAGATCTTGGAGATATTGTGGGTTTGGTTCCAGCCCACCACAGTGATATAACTATCACAATAATGAGAGTATGGTGTTAATTCAAATAGTACAATACCGCCAAGATATTGTAGGTTCGATTCCAGCTCACCATAATGAGAGTATCTCATTCATTCAAATATGATAACACCTCCAAGATATTGTGGGCTCGATTCCAGACCACTGCACCGGCACAGAAAACACAGTGCCTTGGAGATAGAGCAAGTTTTGTTCCAGCCCACCAGCCGCTCTGCAGGATAAACATGAGACTGATGATTCAGTCTCAGAGACCCCATGGAGGGTTGCTGTTGGGTGAGAGTTCACTCAACTACGGTGGGTTCACCACGGTGCACTGAAGCGTGTCTCCCCCCCACAGCTCCATGTCCCAGATGTGGGAAAGATGAAGCCAAGCTACGTGCGTAAAACAGACCCCAGGACAGTGCCTGGTGTCAGTCAGTCTGCTCCTTTCTTCCCAGTAGAAGTGTGGTTGGTTTTATGTTTTTTTTTTTCATTTGAAATGTGTTTTTCTTACAGATTCGTCTCTTGGGATCCACCATCCCGCTCTGCTCCGCACAGTGGGAGCGGATGTTCAACACGTCCCGGATCCCAGGGGAGGAGACAGGTGAGTGAGGCCCCAAGAAATGTCAGGAGGTCTGTGACCCTGCCTGGGCTTCCAGGGGCCACCTTTCTTCTCCTCGATTCCTCTCTCTTCCCGAGGCCCAGACAGTCGCCATCTTTCCCCTTTCTGATTTTCTCTGTCTGACTTTTTGTTGTCAGTTGGGTGAAGGTGTACAGAGCACGTCGGTTTTCTTTTCGACAGTCCACACAAGTCTTGTTTCACGTCATTGTTCACAGTCCCCACAACCTTGCAGCGCTCCCTCCCTGTGGTTCGTATGTCCAAGCCTCTGTTCCTAACTCCTGCTGCCTTTGAGGACCTTTGTTGTCATTGTTGTTATTAGGTGCCATCGAGTCGGTACCGACTCATAGCGACCCTAAGCACTGCCCGGTCCTGGGCCAACCTCATAGTTGTTGCCACGCTTGAGCCCATTGATGACAGCTGTTTCTCGTCATTTTGAGTTGTGCCCCATCAGCAAATGAAGGTCCCATGGGCTTTTCTCCATGGGCTTTACTCCATGTGCATCATCACGGTCACCTCTACTTTGAGGAGGCAGCTCTTCCCCAGTCGCATTTTGAGTGCCTTCCAACCTGAGGGGCTCATTTTCCTGCACTCTCTCTGACAGTGTTTCTCTGCTATTCATAAGGTTTTCAGTGACTAAGTATTCCGAAGTAGTTCGTCTTTCCTTCTTTCTAGTCTGTCTTCATCTGGAAGCTCATCTGAAACCTGGCCACCATGGGTGACCCTGCTGGTATTTAAAATACCCATGGCATAGTTTTCAGAATCACAGCAACTCATAAGTCACCACAGTACGACAAAAGTTAGTGGTCAGTTCTTCTAAGGCGTGTGTCCTCGCTTCTCTTGTAGACCTGTCTGTAGGCTGACTGACTGAAGACTGAACCACGGGGGGAGTTCAGTTCCAAACCTGATGACTCTCTAAGCACCATAGGCTCGGGGGTTCCAAAATCTCTATGCGACCAGTAAGCCTGGTCTTTTTATGATGCTGAATTCTGGTCCACCCCGCCTCACACTCTCTCCAGGACCTTTTGTTAAGGCTCTTTCAGAGTGGTCAGCAGTGGTCACAGGGTACCACCTAGTTCTGGCCTCAGAGTCGTGTGCGGACTTCTGTAGCTCTTCTGTCAGAAAGACTGCTCTCTGGGTCTGGTTAGGGAAATTTCTGTCCTTTCGTTGGGTTCTCCTAGGAGGTTTGTTCTGCCCAAGCCCAGGGCAGTGGCCAAGACAGGACCTGAGGTCCAGCCGCTCAGGTACCAGCTGCCTGGCCTGGGTGATAGGAGCCCCCTCTTGACACAGGATGGGCACAGAATTGAACTTGTGAGCCGGGACACTCGTGGGAGGGAACACAGCAGGTGTCAGATCAGACTGTCCCAGGCCCACCAGAAACTGTCTGTGACCCTCACCTTACCTGTAACTGACCTGCTGTGAGCTGGGTTTAAGCCCTTCCTGATAGGTCGTTCCAAGCCCCCTCCTTGATAACCTTGACAGTTTTATTGAGATATAACTTACATGCCTTGCAGTTCATTCAAAATGTATAATCCGATGAGTTTTAGTTTATTCTCAGAATTCTGTAGCCATCCTTACAACGAACTCATTGTAGAATATCCACCCCTCAAAAAAAACCCCGCACTGCCCACCTCCACCCCAATTCCAGGCAATCAATGTCCTCCTCTCTAGATTTCCCTCCCGTGGAACTCTGTAAATGGAACCGTACCTTCTTCCCTCAAAATGGTCATTTTCACAGTTATCCACCTCCACCTCTTGGGTCAGGGATGCTCTATGTGGTGGTTGTTTTTCTGTCTATGTCTGTCTGTCTGTCCACGTTGCTTTGGAAGCCAGTTGCTGAGGAGAGTCCCTGCTGATCCGGTGTTCCGAGTGTGCTGTTAACTGTCCAGAAAAACATCCCACCTGGGACCCTTGGGGAGTCCTTGTCCCAAAGCCAGCCTCTGGGTTGGTGGCCTCCTCCCTGGCAGAAATCAGAGATGCTCTAAAAATCCCCCATGTTTGTTTCCTGCTTTCTCGGTTTTCCAATTTGCAAAGCATTTTTAAAAGTTAGCTCAAGAATGAATATTGATGAAGTTAATGCTATAGTCAAGGAGTCCCAGTGGTGGAGTGGGTTAAACATTGGACTGCTGACTCCAAGGTCGGCAGTTCGAACCCACCACTGACTGCCCCTCGAGAGACAGGAATGGCTGTCAGCTTCTGTAAAGATATTTCAGCCTTGGGAACCCTGTGTGGGCATTTCTCCTCTGACCCAGGGTCGCTGCGGGTCTGAACGGACTTGTTTGCAATGGGTTGTTTTGGTTTTATCGAGGGAGCCCTAGTGGCACAGTGGGTTAAGCGTTGGACAACTAATCCCAAAGTCGGCTGTTCAAACCCACCAGCTGCTCCTGTAAATATTTACAGTTGCAGAAACCCTAAGGAGTATGTGAGTTGGAATCGACTCTTGTTTTATTTTGGGGTGTGTTTTATCTACAAATTCCCTTTTGAGTCATCACTTCTTGGGGTTGGGCAGGACTTTCAGAACCCCTAGACTGCTGGTTGGTTCCTCTGCCTTACGGTTGTTCAGCCTCTCAGACTGTGTAACACTGGTTACGTATCTAATTATTCCCATGGAGTCTTGTGTCAAGCAGTCCTGGTAGTGTAGTGGGTTACAGCGAGTTGGGCTGTTCCACTGAAAGGTCAGCAGTTCAAATCCACCAGCGGCTCCTAGGGAGAAAGATGAGGCTGTTTCTGCTCCTGTAACAAATTACAGCCTCGGAACCCATACACAGGGTCGCTATGAGTCAGAAGCTGCTCTACGGCATACGACCTCCAACTCTAGCGTCTCCTGCGCAGCCATGCCCCCTGCCCCACACTCTGCGGTTCCTGGGGGGACTTGATTACTATTTGTTGAATAAGCTTATTTCATCATATTCCTGCGACGTTTAAACTTTAAGAAATGATGCTTGAGGTCGCAGATGTGTTTCTTGTTTTATTTTTATTTTTGTTTAAGGTTTTTATTGTGGATTGAGTGAAAGTTTACAGGGCAGATCATCAGTTTTACATTCAACAAACCAACCATACACCTTGTTTCATTACAATGATGATAATCCCCTCCATGTACCATCAGTTAACAGTATTTCTCGATATCCACTTTAGCTTTTTAAAAACACACAAACAAAAAACCTACTCAGGTATATATAATAATTTACATCTCCAAAGGCCACCACCTTCTCGTCTTAGTCCTTGAATCTAGAGTCCTCAGCCACTCCCCCTCTCCATGCCCCCATCTCTGCCTCCATCTCTGGCGCTGCTGCTTCTCTGGATGAGGTCCCGCATTCTGCTTGTGCGCTGCAGATGCGCTCCCTTTGTTTTAGTCATTTCTAATTCCATTTTAAGAACATTTTCCTGTTTGCCCGGTTGTCAGTTCATTAATGAAAAATAAGGGCCTGGTTCAAATGTCTACCACATAGCAATGAATGTGTTACGGATGTTGTTGTTGTCAAGTGTCATCAAGTTGGTTCCGACCCATAGCGACCCTGTACAGGGTTTCCGAGGAGCAGCTGGTGAGCTTGAACCACCGAGCTTGCAGTTCAAATGCGCCTTGCAGTCTGGCGCATTAACCCACAGCGCCACGCCAGGACTCCGATACTGGCTCTGTTTTTAAGCCTTATATTATGAATTTGGATGAAGGTTTACAGAACAGATCAGTTTGCCATTCAACAATTCATAGCCCTTTTGTTTCATGTCATTGGTTGCACTCCACAAGGTAACATCACTCTTCCCACTTCCTCTCCATTTCTAGTATCCATTGTCTCTTTATTTTTCACATCTGTACAAGGAAGCCAGTATTACTCCATTTTATAGGTGAGAAAGTAGAGGCATAGAGGGTTCAATTGGTTTATTCCGAAGATTCTGCCTCCACTGATGGGAGAGCTGAGCTTAGAATATGGGTCCGCTGTCCGAGCCCTTGACTCTCATTCTGTTGTTGGTATTAGTAACTGTCGGGCCGTCTCTGACTCGTAACGACCTTGCAGATAGCAGAACAAGACGTGCCCGGTCCTACACCATTCTCACAGTTGTAGCTCTGTTTCAGCCCACTGTTACAAACCACCATGTCGGTCTGATTGTCTACGCGCCACTTTACGGATCCTTGAGAAACGGACTCGTGAACGGCAGCGTCGGGGGAGTATGCGTGCTGATAAGTTGTCCTTGTCCTGAGTCTGATTTCTGTTTCTGTGCCTTCAGACACCATCCAGCACATCAAAGACAGCAAGCACATCGTCATCTACCACAGAGGGCGTTACTTCAAGGTCTGGCTTTACCATGACGGCCGGCTGCTGAAACCCCGGGAAATCGAACAGCAGATTCAGAGGATCCTGGACGACCCTTCCGAGCCCCAGGCGGGTGAAGCCAAGCTGGCGGCGCTCACGGCGGGCGAGAGGTGAGCTGCGCCTTTTCACAGCCTGTCCTTGAGAGGCAGATGCGGCTGTCTGCTTCTGTGAACACTTAGCAGTTTTGGGATCCTGTGGAGCTCTTCGGCTCTGCCCTACAGGGCCACTAGGAGTCGCCATCGACTTGCAGACAGTGGGTTGAGGCATTTGTGGATTGGTCGTTCGAACTCACCCAGCAGTACCACGTAAGAAAGGACTGGCAAGCTACTTCTATAAAAATGAACCCCAAGAAAACCCTATGAAACAGTTCTGCTCTGAAACACCTGTGGTCGCCACGAGTCAGAACTGACTTGACGGCAGTAGTATTTTGGGGTTTGGGGAGTCCTTTACAGTTCCCTTCTGTAGCCATGATCTGTTAAAGGGTGGTAATGTTGGCTTTGGCAGGTGGCAGTAAACACCTGGCGGTGGGGGGGCTCAGTCCTCACTGCCTTTGTCCCATAGTGGGCATTCCGGGCACAGGGGATACCTTCGCCCTCTCTGTACTACAGGCAGATAGGTGTAGGAGGGTCAGTCAAAAAGTATTGCTACCAGGGTTCCAGTTCATACATTGTTGTTGTTAGGTGCAGTCAAGTCGGTTCTGACTTATAACAACCCCAGGCACGATGCAACAAAACACTGCCCAGTCCGGTGCCAGCTTCACAATATTGCATGGTTACTCTTGAGCCCACTGCTGCAGCCACTGCCAATCCATCTGATTGAGGGTCTCCCTACTTTTCGCTGACCCTCCACTTTACCAAGCATGATGTCCTTCCCCTGACAACAAGTCCCTCCTGACAACAAGTCCAGAGTATGAGCGATGAAGTCTGGTCAATTCTGGCTTCTAAGGAGGGGGTTGATTTTAAACAACACCTGTCTAAACGTGTCTCTGCCATCAGTGGGTGGCTGCAGACAGTTCTCTCAGGCAGACACACGCACATGTCTTAGTCTTGTTAGGGGTCCTCAGAGGAGGGTCCACTCAAAGCAGTGCCTACCAAAGGTCAGCTCAGAAGGTTACGGTGACTGTCTTTGCAGTTCCAAAGGAATCATCTTGGTAGGTTTTTGTGAAGGAGATAGGATGATCATGAGGTTGTTGTGGGAAAAGTTTTAAGAAAATTAACAAATGTCTCATTGGTCAGAAAAGGCCAGGAAAGTTGCACCCTGGAGTTTTTTTCCCATCATGACAATGCACTTGCTCCTTCTTGGGAGGTTGCTCCTTCTTGGAATGTTTTTAGACATGTGCTGATACGGTCTTCCTATGAGAATTTTGTTAGGAAACCTGACCGGATCCATCCACCTTACAATTCTGATCTTTCCCCTCCAGACTTCTTTGTGCTCCTAAAACTGAAGAAGCAGCGAGAAGGAAGAAGCTATGAGTCCCTCCAATGCTGAAACTGCTGATTTGTTGTGGTTTATTTAGTTCGTTTTTATTGTGGATTGTGTGTAAGTTTACAGGATAGATCATCAGTTTTACATTCAACAAATCATACAACTTGTTTCATCACAATGCTTACAATCCCCCCCATGGACCA